CGGGAGGGGAGTCAACCAAGGCCTTGGGACACTCTGCCAAGAAGGGCCCTGGGGTGGAATCTGGGTGGGGGCGGGAAGCGGGTAGAGGGGCATCCAGAAGTGCTGTAAGTCCGCCCAAGGGTGTTCTGGTTTGCTTAATCTTTTACCCAGTACATGATCTTTTAAACTGTGAAAATATCTGATTCAGTGGATTCCGCAGGTGACTATCCCAATACCAACAAGCAACATTAAAAAATCAGACTGAAAACAGTAGGCATGTGTATAGAGGATGGTTCCCACCAGTGAACCCCACTGTTGGTCTTCAAGCGCAATGGGAAAGACAATCTAGAGTAAAGGAATGGAGAGAAATTCTACTTCAGAAATGAGGAAGAATTTGGTTTTACTAATATTTAATACACAGATGCGCCCTGGCACTCTTGCTGGTCTGTGTGTCAGTGGCTGCGGCTCCCTGGTGGAGGAGGGGCTCTTGACGCGGGGTGATAATGGGCCCTCGCCCGCTGGCTCACTTGACGCCTCTCAGGTGTGTTGGAGTTAACACACTTCGGGATATCGTGGCTGTAAGCAGACCGTTAAAGAGCCAAAGCTTTATGATACTTTGCAGTGATTTGGTGAGCGTCTATCATGAGCACTTAGAACTTAAAAAGGAAATATACATTTTCTTTCATGAGAAGTTTCAAACCTGGATATCTTTTTCTTTTTTCTCTAGTGACAAATAAGTACAGCAGACTGTCAGTTACTTTACTGGTTTTAAGCCAATGCACTCAAATCTATCCCTTCAAGGAAAAGGTGAAAATGCATGAGTTACAGCTTTTCAAAATAACCTGTGCTGAGAACAGAGCGTTTATGAACACAGATGTCTGGGTATGTTTACACCAGCGTGTGACAGTATTGCCACAGATGCGGCAAGAGCACCATCCACGTGAACACTTGCACCTGAACAGCAAAAGCTTTGGGAACCAGAATGTCTACCCCACACCTGAGAGCCCCTGAACACTCACCAGCCCAGATTCATCAAGAGCTCTGGCACAATTGGCGGCTGGGATTGAAAAGCAAGTATCGGGCGCATAGCACAGTCTGCATGCCTTCCTGAAGTTCACTGTGGAGCGCTAGAAAACCAGGAACTGAGATACAGAGAACTCAGAACCAGACTTCAGATGCTGGGCTCAGGCCTCACCAAGAGTTCATAAATGGGATGTAGACTTGATCACTTGGCTCTCTTTTAAGAACAACACACATTTGTGCAATAGATTTTGCACTATTGAAAAAATTAATCATGTTCACTTTGCCTCTCATCCATTTAAAAGGTCTGTACTTGTACATGCTTCTATGTCCATGATATTCAGGACAGGAGCATATGGCTATCTTTTAAAATTTTATTCATTTGCCTATTTTTTGGCTCTGCCACTGCACAGCATGCGGGATCTCAGTTCCTTGACAAGGGATCAAACTCATGACCCTGTGGAGTCTTAACCACTGGGTCACCGGGGAAGTGCCCACATGGCTATCTTTTCTAATAAACAAATAAAATACATGGTGGTGCATGCTCCAGTTCTCTTACATAGAGCAATGCCCTGGAAAGGAGCTTCTGGACAACTTATTCACACAACTGGCCCTTCTGTGGATAAGATGGGAACAAATCTGCAAGACGTGGTCATGGCCCCCTGGGCCCTGCAAGGCGAGGTTCAAGGCCATGCTTCAAGGGCAGGGTCACCTGGATGCCCGGGTGGAGACCCAGTTGGCGACCCTCACGCTCAGTGCCATGATCGGTGGTGGCAGGCTCCTCAGAACCACACAGCTCTGAGTTTGCACTGAAGCTCCCAGCAACAGGTGATGGGGTATATTTTTAAACCAAAGGTGTGGCCCAGAGGAGGCTACAAGGAGAGAGTTCCACAAAGTCTGTGCCATCGCCTACTCTCTTAACCCTGGCTGTAGCCTTGGTCCGCTTTGCCGTCCCACTAGCCTCCTGCCTCTCGAGGCATAGGAAACGAGGTAACGAGGCAATTGAGCATCCCCAGAGAGAGGTAACCATGGATCTTCTGTAACAAACAAGGCAGCAAGCTCATTAGCTCCTGCAACGGTGCCTCTCTGCCCGTCGACTCCAGATCTCTCCAAATGTGGCTGACGACTCAGCGAGGCAGGGGGACAGGCACTGCCCAAGTCTCCCAGGACAGGGACGGACATAGCTTAACACTTTCCTGGGGGTAGGGCATAGGCCTTCTGTGATTTTTGTCAGCTTGGAGTATCATCCACTATTCCAGCCTCTGTTTTCTGAAATCCTTCTTATTATTTCCCAGTCTAGTCCTTGCCCCTTTGTGCAGCCACCACTGACAACCCTGACTGGTTTGCGGGTTCATCTTGGCTGCATGATGGAACTTTCTAGAGTGCTTTAAGATAGAAACTGATGCCTGAGGCCCACCCCTGGAGATTCTGGGTTGTGGTTTGGGACTGGGACTCTTTCCTGGGCGATTCTAATCTGCAGCCAGGGATGAGACCTTCTGTTCTTGTCAAAAGCCATCCCTCGACCTCTGCACACTTGCAGCAGCTTTTCTGGATGTCCTGTGTGGCACTTATCTCATTCTGTGTGAGGTCAGTTACTTGGGAATAAGTAATTTCTTTAGCTCTATCCCAAGGTCCCCAGTTGTGCACAGAGTCTTGCCCATCACTGTCCCCAGAGTTCTAGACTGCTCTGCTCCCCCCATACCCACAAAAGCCTCAAGAGCAGAAGAGTCTACTGTTGATTCAGGAAGCAGGGCTGGAGAAGAAACTGCCAATTAGGGAGTCTTACCTGGGCCTTCCCAGTTGAGACTAAGTCAAAACAGGTTCCCATGAGACTTCCTAGCATATACACTGTGGAAAGCTAGTGGCTTAAAAAAAATAAAACAATGTGAACTCCCTCTCTTGTTCCAAAATGCTGTTTCATCAGAATGGTGATCGATAACATTAGAGAAGGGATGATGTCATCCTGTTTGTTGAACATAGTAAGCAACTGTTCAATTAAAACAAAACAACACCCTGAGAAGTTAAAAAGGGTGGGGGGATTCCCATGACATCAGTTTTTACCTGTTTTCCCTTTCTTTTACTTTTCCAACGACCTTAACATTCTAAAGGAAAATATCCTTAATCTTAAAAAAAAGCAGCATCAAAGTGTTTTGAATCAAATGATGCATCTGCTCAGGAGATAAAGAACCTAACTCTTCCACCTGCACCTCGTCTGCCTGAGTCTCCACACTGCTCCAGGGTCTCATCCACTCCTTCAACAAGCGTTCCTGGAGTGCTTGACATGTGCCAAAGTGCTGGCTATATGCTAGGAGCGCAAGCCCCAACAAGAGCCTTTCCGTGCCTTCAGGGAGCTCACAGCTCAGGAGGCAGAGGGGCAAGCAAACAGAAATAACCCTAGCAGGTAACTGTCTTTAATCAGGCAAAGTCCCAGGAAGTGGGGAGGGGCATTCATTCAAGGGACAAATATGCACCAGGCATGCAACCGAAGCCTTCTTTTAGGAGAAGGCCCTTGCCCTCATGAAGCTTACAGTCTACTTCAGGAAAGAGAGGATACCTAGGTAAACACAAATTCATACCAAATACAGACTGACCATGGGCACCGAGGCTGTTGCAGGCCCTTCCACCTAGACCAGGAGGTTCTCTTCCTTCGGTTCCCCACACAACTCCCACCACTGACAGCGGACCACTGGACACCCACCCTGAGGCTCATGAGAAGGAGGGTTTGAGAGCAGGGCGGATTCCGATACGAGAATGCATTCCCACCCACACTGGGAATCTCTGCACGGAGATGAGCCAGCAGCATCCTTGGCGGCCCTGCCTCCGCTCCCTGGCCAGGGATGCTGCACGGCTTTAGCAGCAAGTGCTCAAACTGTCTGCCGGGTGAAGGCCGGCGGCTCTTAAGGTGGGAAATGTCTGTCCACCCTCCTCGGCTCGGCACAATGGATTCCGCAGAGGTTCTAGTTCCGGGAAGGTTAAGTTTCTCCAAGGGGAGCGGCTTTGGGCAGCTGCCTGCGGGGATGGGGACACGCCCAGAGCTCTCGCCGAGGGGGCAGCCGAGTCAGGGCGGCCTGGCATTGCGGGGAGATGCACCTGCTGGGCCGGCGCCGGAGACCGGCGGCAGGGCGGGGGCGCGGCGGGCTCGCGGGAGCGGCCGGGTGCAAGACCCGGGAGGGGGACAGCGGGCGGGGCGGAGGGCGTCCCGGGCGGGGAAGTGGCCCCCAAGCCAAGAGCCCTGCGAGCCAGCGCGCGCGAGCTGCGGGTCCTGGCTGCACTCACCGACCCTCAGCGCCCTGGCGACGGCGGCCGGCGCTGTCCTCTCGCGGGGTCCCCGCCCTCGGTTCCCGGCTCCGCTCTTGCTTCGCGGCGGCGATTGCTGCTGACAGCTGCTGGGCCGCCGCGGCGGGGAGGGGAGCCTGCGACCTGCGTCGGGCTGAGGACCTGGCGGCTCCGGGTCCTGCAGGGGGCGCGCCGGCCGGCTCGCGCATGCGCAGCAGACCGCCCCTGCGGGTGTCGGACCCGCCCCGGGGAAGCCCCGCCCCGCCCCGCCCCGCCCCGCCCCGGCCGGCCCTGCCCGGCCCTGCCGGCCCCACTCTGTTCGCGCCTGCGCAGTGCTCCGCGCGTCCGCGACACGGTCGGCAGGGGGCGCGCGACGCGGGAGCCTGGGAGCCGAGTCTACCCGTGAGGAGAATCGCGTGGTCCACATGCATTTCCAGGCAGCTGAAGTAGTGGTTGCCCGACTTCTGGCTTTCCTGACCTTCCTCCATTTCTCCTCCATCACGGTCTTTCGTTGAGTTCTGGGCCTCTTCTCCCAACGGTAGAAGGGTGCTTTGCCACCATGGACCTGGCGAGGACACGGCTTAGGCAGATGAGGCCCTGGGGAAGATGGAGAGGGTGGAAATTTCTAGAAAACGGCCGTGGGGTGGGCAGGACAGCCCAGACTCCCCGGTGTGGCGTCAGTGCCGGGGCGCAGTTCAGCGCGTAGCGAGGCCTCGAGGGTCACCTCAGGCAGGAGGGTCGAGAGTCAGAGCCAGGGTCACTTCAGGAGGGTAACAGGTCAGGCCGGAGTCCCCTGAAGCCGAGAGTCGTGAGGTCGGGTTAGGGGTCACCTTGAACGGGAGGGTCCCGAGGCCCGGCCGGGGTGACCTGGGGCGGTGGGACTCGAGGAGGGGACGGCGCGGGGCCAACAGTCGTCGGGGGCTGGCCACTCGGCTCCTGACTGCCCGGGTTGTGAGCGTGGCCAGCGGCACGTTGATTCCGAGGATCCTCCCGCGGCCCGACGTCCGCCGGCCGCCGGCTGCCTGGCTGCCCTTGGCCGGGCCTCGAGTGTCTCCTGGCGGAGGTCGGTGGTCCCGGACACTGCCTGCTGACCAGCTGGGCTCCTGCCGGCTCTGAGTGCGCCTCTGGGATGAGGACACGACCGTCTGAACCGTAAAGTAATGACCCGTGGCAGGAGCTTATTTCTGCCCCCAGACTCCTTATGGATTAGCGATGGAGCATCGCAGAGCCCCGCGTCTTTACTTCGGAACTTATTTCACTCTCCGAAGTGGTGGTATTTACTTGTTTGCTGTTCATCTGTCTCTCTCACCAGAAGGTGGGCTCCATTAGGGACGTTGTTTAGTTCACTGCGACTTCCTAGGGTCCTGGCACAGAGGAGGCATTTGATAAATATTTGTTGAATGAAAAAGCCACCAAGACCTGGCTTCAGATCTTGCCCGGATCCCCTAACTAGTGCAGGCCTGGCACTTAAACTTTGTGAACCTCAGTTTCCTATTCCTTCAATTAAAATAATACCAAACTCAAAGATGTTTAGTATTTCAAAATGAAATGGGAAAAACCATAAGTGCTGATTGCAATGCCCTGGCACCTACAAGCAGATTATAACTAGAGATTTAATCTAGACTGGTCTCTGTGATGAGGATTCAGAAAAAAAATAGAAGGCAGTTACTGAATAAGTGGATTATTAATGTCACAAACATCTTAAAAATTGTCTCTCCCATCTTTCCTTGTATACTGGGACCCTTCCCTCACAATGAAAGTATTGGGAAAAACTGTGAACCTGGATGATTGGTCCTTCTCTTCACCCTGCTTCTGTTCCTTAATCTTTTTTTATTTCAAGAACCAATCCTTCCCATTTCTAAGTTGGTTACACCATGAGTTTTTTCAAACCTTTTCTAAACCTGATCACAGTTCTGCATAACCAAGTCCAGAAACAGAACTGGCTGACTCAGAATTTCCCTTTTATGGGTGGGGCTACTAGAAGAAGAAAAATGATCTTGCAGATAAGGCAGACAACTGCAAAGAGTTCTATATCTTTGTTCTTAATCATGTTAGGGTGCCTGCTATTGTAATTATTATCATAATCATGAACTGGGAGGGTGTTAAGGTCACTGGCAAAGGCATATTGTCACATGTAAAGATTCCAGGCTCTGGACTCCCAGTTAGCAAGCAGCTGCCAACAGTGAACTGGACTCTTGACTCACTTCAACTATTACTGAGGGCTTCCCAGGTGGCGCTAGTGGTAAAGAGTCCATCTGCTAATGTGGGAGACCCAGGAGACCGGGACTCAATTCCTGGGTTGGGAAGATCCCCGAGAGGAGGAAATATTGGCAACCCACTCTAGTATTCTTGCCTGGAAAATTCCAAACACAGTGAAGCCTGGAGGGCTACAGCCCACGGGGTCACAGAGTTGGACACAACTGAACATGCATATGTGTGCACACACAAACACACACACACACACACACACATGCATCCCCCAATCACTGAAAAATCCACCAACCTTCTGCTGAAGGCCCACTACTGAAAAAGCAAGGCAAACCTAAATGCTCCATCTAGGCTTCTTCCATTGGGAGATCCATATAATGGTCATAATTTTTTTCAAAGTACACTATAGAGCTGAGACCAGAACCCAGGTGTTCAGGTTCTTGAGCTCTTTAATACACTCTGGTATGTGAGTTAGTCGCATTCATATACCATGGATATATTCCTAAAAACTATATAATACACTTCTTTGGGTTTGCGTGGCTCAGACATTTCTCAAGACTGATGGAAAATCCTAGAGTGAATAGTGGCACTCATAATCAAATCTTGTGGCTTTACAAGAGGCAGTAAGCCTAGTCATCATAATAGTTGGCTGACATATGGAGGGGCTTCCCAGGTGGCTCAGTGGAAAATAATTTGCCTGCAGGTGTAGGAGACACAGAGATGCGAATTTGATCCCTGAGTTGGGAAGATCCCCTGGAGGAAGAAATGGCAACCCACTCCAGTATTCTCACCTGGAGAATCCCATGGACAGAGGAGCCTGGCAGGCTATAGTTCATAGAGTTGCAAAGAGTAGGACAGGACTGAGTGAGCATGCATGCAGGACATATGTATATATACAAATGTATATATACTATATACATTTTTAAAGTGAAACCAATATTGTAGCTCTATTTCTTTTGAGGGGCACAAATAGTATCTATATATCTACATATGCTTACATATGTGTCTTTTTATACAGTAGTTCAGTTCAATTCAGTTCAGTCGCTCAGTTGTGTCTGACTCTTTGCGACCCTGTGAACTGCAGCACGCCAGGCCTCCCTGTCCATCACCAACTTCCAGAGTCCACCTAAACCCATGTCCATTGAGTCGGTGATGCCATCCAACTATCTCATCCTCTGTCGTCCCCTTCTCCTCCTGCCCTCAATCTTTCCCAGCATCAGGGTCTTTTCAAATGAGTCACTCTTCGCATCAGGTGGCCAAAGTATTGGAGTTTCAGCTTCAGCATCAGTCCTTCCAACGAACACCCAGGACTGATCTCCTTTAGGATGGACTGGTTGGATCTCCTTGCAGTCCAAGGGACTCTCAAGAGTGTTCTCCAGCACCACAGTTCAAAAGCATCAGTTCTTCTGCGCTCAGCTTTCTTCACAGTCCAACTCTCACATCCATACATGACCACTGGAAAAACCATAGCCTTGACTAGACGGACCTTTGTTGGCAAAGTAACATCTCTGCTTTTTAATATGCTGTCTAGGTTGGTCATAACGTTCCTTCCAAGGAGTAAGCATCTTTTAATTTCATGGCTGCAATCACCATCTGTAGTGATTTTAGAGCCCAGAAATATAAAGTCAGCCACTGTTTCCACTGTATCCCCATCTATTTGTCATGAAGTGATGGGACCAGATGCCATGATCTTAGTTTTCTGAATGTTGAGCTTTAAGCCAACTTTTTCACTCTCCTCTTTCACTTTCAAGAGACTCTTTAGTTCTTCGCTTTCTGCTATAAGGGTGGTGTCATCTGCATATCTGAGGTTATTGATATTTCTCCCAACAATCTTGATTCCAGCTTGTGCTTCCTCCAGCCCAGCATTTCTCATGATGAACTCTGCATATAAGTTAAATAAGCAGGGTGACAATATACAGCCTTGACATACTCCTTTACCTATTTGGAACCAGTCTGTTATTCCATGTCCAGTTCTGACTGTTGCTTCCTGACCTGCATACAGGTTTCTCAAGAGCAGGTCAGGTGGTCTGGTATTCCCATCTTTTGAAGAATTTTCCAGTTTCTTGTGATCCACACAGTCAAAGGCTTTGGCATAGTCAATAAAGCAGAAATAGATGTTTTCCTGGAACTCTCTTGCTTTTTTGATGATCCAGTGGATGTTGGCAATTTGATTTCTGGTTCCTCTGCCTTTTCTAAAACCAGCTTGTACATCTGGAAGTTCAAGGTTCACGTATTGCTGAAGCCTGGCTTGGAGAATTTTGAACATTACTTTAATATCGTATACAGTAGTTACTGATATTCAGTGCAGAATTTTAGAATAGGGCTACTCCAGCTGTTTCCAAAGGGCTATGTTATAATTGGGGGATGCCTTCTAGACCAAGGGCTGTACACATACTCCTTCATTCAGTGATTGAGAGGCATTGATTTGTAGTGGTTAAAACTGGTTATGGGCTCTGGCCACATAGTGTTGAACTGAAGCCCAGATCTTAATGTCTTAACTGTTCTCTGCCTTGATTTCCATGTATAAAATATAGTACCCACTTCATAGGATTGTTATGAGTATTTGATGTATCAAAACATATAAAATACTTTAAAAAATGCTTTACAGCTCAGTTTCCAATTTTGGGGAGATTATGAGCAAAGCCTTTTATAATCATTTGTGACAGGTTCTTGTGTAAAAAGAAAATTTTTACATTTGAAAATAAAATTTTTCATTTTGGGGGGTAAAAAGAATGGGATTGTTGGATTGCGTGGAAGTGTATGTTTAGCTTTATAAAAAACCACCAAAGTATTTTCCCAAGTAACTCTAGCAATTTGCAGTGACACTGGCTCTGTATAAGAGTTCAGTTGTTCTGTGACTTTGCCAGCACTTGAAATTTTTTAGCCATTTTAGTAGCTGTGTAGTAGTATTTTATTATGGTTTAAATTTGCATTTCCCTCATGACTGATGATGCTGGCGTCTTTTCATGGGCTTGTTTGCCATCCATGCATGCATGCATGCTAAGTCACTTTAGTCGTGTCCGACTCTCTGCGACCCTATGGACAGCAGCCCACCAGGCTCCTCTGACCATGGGATTCTCTAGGCAAGAATACTGGAGTGGGTTGCCATTTCCTTCTCTATTGTTTGCCATACATATATCTTTTCTGGGGTGAAGCATCTTCAGTGTTTTTGCCTATTTAAAAAAAATGGGTTGTTTGTTTTCTTATTATTGAGTTTTGAGAGTTTTATGTATTCTGGATACAGCTCCTTTGTCAGGTAATCGATTTACACACATTCTCTCCCCAGTCTGTGATTTGTCTTTTTATTCTGTTTACAGTCTTTTGCAGAGAAAAAGTTTTTAATTTTGGTGAAGTCCAGTTTATTAGTTTTTCTTTTATGATTTTGGTGTCATAGCTAAGACTGTTTTCCTTAATCCAAGTTCACAAAGATGTTCTGTTTTTTTCTATTAGGTTTTGAGTTTAGGTTTGTGTTCTATTTGAAATTAATTTCATTTAATGGATTGAAGTAGAGATCAAAATGAGTTTATTTTTTCCTGTATGGATTCCACTTGCTCCACCACTTGTTAAAAAGATTACTCTTTTTTCTTTGAATTGGTCCTTTGTAAAAAAAATTGGCCTTATTTGTGTAGGTCTGTGTCTGAACTCTTTCCTGTTCCATTGATCTGTGTATATATGATCTTTTAGCCCAGAAGTTGGAAAATTTTTCTGTAAAGGGTGGGATAGCAAATTTTTTTGACGTCTCATGCCAAGAGGCAGAGTTGAGAATATCACATAGCTACTTGTTACATGAGACAAAGCAAATTTCCTTAAAGTTTTTATTAGTGGGATTCAATATAATAATTGAATGTGGTTTTTTCAAAACATATATCTACTAGTGAGAAGAATGGAATTCTTTTTTATGGGATAACATACTGTATAGCTGTGTTCAAAGATAGTGTCCCCTACAATCAAAATTGACTGTAAATGTTAATCTGTAATGAGATTTGCATATTTCATCATGAACGTATGATTTTGAGTGCATTCATGACTTTGAAAGGCATTGATAAAATTCTATTAAATTCTTTCCTTTTAGCTTGTTCTTACATTCC